CACAACTTCTGTCTTAACTCCTGCCTGTTTTTTAGGCCTTCAGGAAGTTTTCCCTGACTCCTCAGTGTGGCATTTGGGTCCCCTTTTTGTGTTTCTGTATTTTAATAGTCATCTTACTGTTTTTTTTTTTTTTTCCCCATTCACTTATATTGGGTTCCCAGACTGAGTCTTCATTTCTCTAATTCTGCCACCTGATAGCATGCCCATCATGTGGGCACCTTGTGTGTATATTGAATGGGTTAATAACAGAATTTGAGTTCTCTTCTAACCCAATAAACGCCTCAGACTTTTTACTTTGGACAAGTATATGGCTTCATAAATGGAGGATAAGAATATCAATGAAAAAGAATATCTATATATGAAGTATGTTGATAAGCGAAATTTCCTTGATAGTTAATTTTCTTTGATTTTTGGGGAACAAAATTGAATTAATAAATTTTATTCTTACTTTAGGCATTTGGAAATATTTAGAAATGACAACTTGAAAATAAAAATTGTGCTCAGGAATACTTTTTCTGATCAAAGCCTATAAGAATGAGAGCAAAGTTAAAAAGAACAGATGCTAAGAAAAGGCTGATGTTTTCTGCTGATGACAACATGATATTGGTGGATACCGTGACGTTTCTTTCCTTTCAGAGCAATAGTTCAGTAGTGTTATCCAAGGTAGAAATTATGACTGAAGGTGTAATATTGCTGTCATTACCAACTGAATTGATAACAAACTACCTGTAAACAGCTACAATCTTGCTTTTGTCTGCTAACTTCAGTAGTGCTGAGGCTGCTATAAATGAGACAAATGCTAAATTTAAGCCAATAACAGATGATGAACAACTTTGACAAGCTACAAACCATCACAACAAGCTTTTTAAATTTTGTGTTCCTTATTCAGTCAGAATTGTTTAGAAAATTGTATGCATTTGGGGCAGTTTCTCTTCATAGAGTTATTTTTAGCACAAAACATATTTCATTTGTTCATTGCCATGAAATCTGCATTGGACAGATTTGTGTTGTTTCAAACACTGATTCTTTTCTACATAAAAGCTGTGTCTCCATGTTACCAGTACAACTTGTTGGAAATTAAAAATGATTAGGCAATTACTCTGTTTCTTTTCATCAATAAAAGCAAATACTCAGTTTGATTTCTCTCCCCTGCTGAAACTGATGTTATCAACCAGTTGTTGGGTAATCATATGGTCACAGGTAGAATCTTTAGATTTATTAAGGATTTGGTAATGTTGTCATTATATTTTGACAGGAAGCTCTCAGGCCTTAAATTAAAATGTTGTCTTAAATTTAAAATTTCTAAGCAAATACATATATAGTAGACTTGCCATATGGAATAACAAATGCCCAATTAAAGGTGAATTAAAGCTGGGCATTGTGGTACACACCTGTAGTCCTAGCTACTTGGGAGGCTGAGGGAGAAGGGTCACAAATTCTGAGGCCAGCCTTGGCAACTTAGAAAGACCCTGTCTCTACATAAAAATAAAAAGGGTTGGGGGTTATAGTCCAGTGGTAGAGCATCCTATGCAATTCCCAAAATCAACACAACAACAACAACAATAATAACAAACAAAAGTATTTCAAATAAATAACAAAATTAGTTTTTTAAATATAACTATCTTCTAAGTACTGTATAGGTTATTCACTAAAAAAAATAATTTATCTGAAACTCAGATTTAACTAGGCATCATGTATTTTTATTTGCTAAATCTGAGCTATTCTATATTAAGATAGAAAGCTGAAAAAGAATGCAGTGCAAAATAGGTTTCCTTCAGTGTCCTCTGTTCCTGTCATAGTTTACTATTAGCCATAAAACTTGCAGAAATATTTTATAAACTTGTGCCTATTATGCTTTTAAAAACAACATGTACCTAATAATTTTTCTTGAATAAGCATTTCCCTTATATTATACAAGTTGTAGCAATTTAATGTATTATACTGCACATTTTTTAAAAAATTGACAATATATTTATATTCATATGCTTTACACTTGGGTCCTTATTTCTTCCTTTCATTTCACCTCATAAAGGGCAAGGTCTGCATGGCAATTTTGAACTTGGAAAAGGGAAAAATGTGGTAAGATAAATTTTTCCTCCTAATGAGGGGCAGCATATTGTAGGAGTTAATTGTGGGCTCTGGAGCCTATCTGCCTGTACTCAAACTCTAGATTCATTACTTACTAGTGGTGTGATTTAGGCAAGTTTCTTAGTCTTTTTATGACTTATGTAAAGTCAATGGATTGTATGACTGTTAAAGGATATAACTGGATAGCATGCTTCAGTAAGTGCCTAGCATTTTGTAGGTGCCCTGTTTGCTGTTATTATTGCTGCTTCTGCCCCCATAGTAGTGTAGATCTCCTGGTCATCTCTATAGCTCATCTCTACTGCCTCTTTGATTCAGCATTGTCACTGCTAGCATGAATTGCCCAGGAAGAACCTGGGCTGCTTCTGACCTATTGTTGGGTCTCCTATAAGACTTACCCTATGACCATGGTCTGCTTTTATGACCCAGGTACCCTTATATTTCCATGTAGTGTTGAAATGGGTAAAAAGAGAAGGGAGATGGTAAGGTGGTGAAAATGAATTTGCAGTTTGAAAGAAGTAGATTTGATCTATCTTAAAAGTTCTTCAATTACAAATGATTTATATATAATTAGAACTGAATTTACTGGGTTTTGGGGATAAGGATAAGGGACATAAGAAAAACCCTTTTTAAAAAAACCAAACAAACAACTTATCTCTTTGGCATGGTTGTAAATAGTGAAATCCCCTGTAAACTTCAAAAAAGCTATGATTTTATTTTAGGGACATTAGACCAGTACAGAGAAGCTATGAAACTGTACTATGTTTTATCACTGAAATTCACATATGTTACTGTTAGCTCTCTCCTGGGAGACACTGTCAGCGACTTGCAACAGGAGTGGCTTTTTTTTTTTATTAAACTCTTACAACAAGTTTTTTGAGGGGTGGGTAGTAGTGTAAGTAGCTCTACATCTGCATTACTGACTTCTTGGTGAACTTTGGATGGCCGTGTTTTTCTCTGTTGGGAACTTCCTGCCCAACTTTCTCTGCAGACTCTTCATAAATCAGTGGCTATATTCATAGGCTACCTTTCCCCCACGTCATGAATAGTGCCTATCTTTCTGAGTTAATTTTTCATAAGGTAAAGTGGATAGAGCTAAGTTTTATTGTGCATACCAAACATTAATATATATATATATAATTATTTTCCTTCTAAAATTTATTAATAAGATTTATTTGTAAATAGATCTAGAGTCAGAAAAAATATGCAACTTAACAAGGACAAACTTATTCATGCTTCTTCATTGCTTTCATGGTTCCTCTGTCTATTTAATTAGATACATGTTGGTAGACTTGGGGTCTCCTGACTTTTAGGTTTAATTTTTCAGAAGTTAATTTTTTTCAGAGGGTACTTGCTATTATGATATTTTTTGAAAGAGTATTGTAGTTTCCTTATAAATAAGAATTAAAAATATCGCAAATTTATCTTTAAGTTCTCTGTATAGTGCCTCATGAATATATACTGTCTTGCATGGGAATGCTAACCTATATGGACTCAACATTAATCCTGAATGTATATTTTATAATTATGAGTTTTTTGTAAGCTGGAAATTAGCATACATTATTTATCTCATTTATCACAAGATACTCAATGAATAAGTTTATATTCTATAAAACCAAGGTTGAGATGTTAGGCTACTTGCTAAAAGCTACACTGTTATTTAAGTTTTAATTCTAGGTCAGAGCCAGTGCCCTCTCCTTGATACTAGGGCAGTTTTAAAATAAGTGCCACTAGTTGAGCTGTTTGACTATTTGGAATGGAGTTGGTGTTTTTAGACTACTGTTCTATATTGGGATAAGGAAGTTAGCAAGTACTATTTTCTGTTATTATTCAGAGCAAATTGTAGGCATTGATGTTCTATGCATCTGCTCATCTACATATATCTACTTTTTGCCAAGAATCCTTTCCTCTTGAAGAGGTAATAGAGGGCAACTTGGTCTTTCTCAGAAAAATGGCCTGTCTCACCTTCCAGTTGAAGAATGAGGATATGTGGTGATAGATTCCTTCTCTGAGAAGACTGACACCTGGTTAACTCAGGATTTTCTGCGAAGCAAAGGGTGGTTGTACCTCTGGAGACAGTTGTGCAGAATTGTATAGCAGAGGCTGATTATGGTTAGTGATGTGGATGTTGGCTGTGCATATCTGTACCCAGGACTTCAAAGTGTCCAATTAAGTGTTTCCAGAGAAAGATAAGATCTATGTGAAGATAAAGAAGGAATTGAGAAGGTATTTTTAAGTGGAAAGAGGAGAACATTATAGTTAGAAGGATAGTTTAAAAACCTTTGAAAAATTTAAGAGGGCACTCTCTTTTATTCAGTTTTTAATCCATGATTTAATGTATTAAAGCAGTATAGTATTACCTGTACTGCTTTGGTGTCACAGTTCTTGTCTAATTGGTATGTATATTATCTTCCCAGTTAAGGCTGTGAGCATTTGAGGGTAAGATCACAAATTCATTTATCATTTTTGCCTAGAGAATTTCATATGCAGATTCAAGTAAGCTCCTTATTCTGTGGTTAAGGATCTGTAAATTAATCCAAGATTACAGTGGTCTGTGCTGAGAAGCTCTTCAGGAAATATTTTAGAAACTTGTACCATCTTATTTAAAACAGAATTTAAGCTTTTCTACTTATTATTGCAGTTAACATGGGTATGTGCATATCATTTTGAGTAAGTTCTAGAGTGCTGACTTTTTTTTTTTTTTTTTGCCTGTAATGGGAACTACGTGAAGTTATATCAACAGGAGTTAATGGTCAGAGGAATTACAATGGTATCAAGTGCTATTTAGAGTATTTAGTTTTAGAAGAAAATTACAGTTCTGAGAAAACGTAACCCTTTCATTTTATGTCCTTTTTCCCTCAGAGTTCCATTTTAGTTGCTGTTTGAAATCATTTTAGAGAAGAACTTTGAAAGAAATGTTGGAAACCATAGGTAAGACTTATTCTTTTTTTTCTGCATTTTTAAAAGTTGAAACTCCCTCCTTTGGGATCTTTGAGTATGATATGTTTTATATAGCAGATTCTATCTGTGGTAACTTAGATTTAAAAGGTTGTTATCCACTAACATTGTGCCAGGATAATACTTTTCTGTATTTGATCAGTCTCATGTGAAGTGTTACAAAACACACATAATTTGTACATAAAAATAAATATGACATTCTACCATTTATGGGTCTTAATAAAGCTTAATGTATACCTAATTCTAATTCATGAACCCAGTTGTAGTTAATATTTGTTTCTGGATTACAGGAGAAAATTTATTAGTATTTTAATATTGAAAGATGACCATTATTCTTGTATTTGTGGCTGAATTGCCTCTGAGCTCTTGGGTGTGTGTGTGTGTGTGTGTGTGTGTGCGCGCGCGCGTGCGTGTATGTGCGTGTGTATTTTACTGGGGATTGAACCCAGCACTCTACCACTGATCTGTACTCTCATCCCTTTTTTAAAATAAAATTATTTTGAGAAAGAGTCTTGTTAAGTTGCTCATTGTGGTGGCAAACTTGTGACCCCTCCTGCCTCAGCATCCTAAGTAGCTGGTATAACAGGCATGTGCCATACCTGGTTGAGCTCTTGCTTTTACTTGACAAGGAGAACAGTAACAATCTCTTTAGCTGGTAACTTCATTGAAGGCAATTTAATTTCCTCATGAGATAATTTAGGTTGAAATAGCTAGATTTCCCATGTTTATGTGTTAATCCCTTCTAGAGAAACTAGTTTATACGTCTGTTTACAAGTATATCAGGTGTGGTACATATCTGCCATCATCAGACATAGCAGTCCTGTACGTATTCCAGGTAGCTTATCTATTATAACTTTTTTGAAGGTATCTAGATTTTACTCTGTCACCTTGATGATTACGGTTGATGCTTAGATAGCTTCATGTTTTAAGGGTAGGAGGAGAGTCGATGGCAGTAAAAGAAACAGGAGCTTCTTTTATGATCATGCGACTTTTGTTCCTGGTCCTATGCTGATCATAAAAATGCATGGATGTACATCTCTATCACTCATTTTATACTGAAGTAATACACCATAAAGAGAAATAGCCTACACAAAAGTGGAAAGGAAAGGAAAGGGGAAGTACAGAATTATGTAAATCATTACTTTCTCAGCTTTGTTCTGTTAGCTATTACTACTGAGTTGGACACCTTGTAACAATTGCCATGAGAATTAATATATTCACATTCTAAGTTACCATGGGAAATGATCCAGATGAAAATTCTCGGGTACATCTTTATCATTATTTGCTTTAAAATTTCTGCTTGAGTAAATGTTATTTTATTTCATTTTTTTTGTTTATGTAAAATCATGATCTTTGTTAATTCATATTTTAATTGCCCAATTTCTGTGTAATTCCAGATTTGGAGCTATATAAAGTATTTCTAGTAATGATTGCCATTATATATAAAGTATCTCTAGTAATTGGTTACTGTGATATTTCAAATATATTTTAATACAGGTACTTCTTATCATCTGGAAAGTGTTAGGACATTATCTGAGTACAATCTCTATTAAAAATAAAAAACAAATTTGGCTTAAATTATAAATAAGTGTGTATGTATGACTACAAAGATATGTTGTTGGCTATTATTTGTGGTAGAAATTCACTACTGGTAGAAGTAAGTATATAAGATATAAGAACTGTTAGGACATACTTAAATATTTACTTTTTAAAAAAACTTTGTGCCTGATTTATAAAGCATTTAATAATTATTTGAATTGGATTAGTTTGAAGCATATGTAAATATGGTATTTAATTTGGGGAGGAAGATATTTCAACTATTAAAAAGTAACTTATTTGAAATACTCTGTGTTATTCTGATGTATTTTTAAATAAATTCTCAATTGTAGAATACTTTGCTTCTTAATATGTGAAATTATTATATTTTGGATATTATGATTAATCATTAACATTATCCATATCCACTTGTTAGTGAGCCAATTATGTTGCTAATTTTTTTATATGTAAATAAGCATTTTCATATCTTTTAAAAGAAGGCAGATATCTGCATTTTTGAGGTCACAGATCATTTGGTTTTTATTTAAAAAAAAGTCATGATTTTTATGAAAGAGTTGAAACAGCTCACATTGGAATTTAGAGAGCCATCATGTGAATTGGTTTCTGTGACTAGTTGTATTCAGCACACAATATAACCAATTTCTTGCTTTCAAAGAAACTTTCTTATAGGAGCCTTCAAGGTTTGTGGGGCACATTTCCAGTTACATGTTACATGTTACATGTTACACCATTTCTGTTTTATCTCCAAACCAATCCCATTGGTTTGAAGCAAATGTAAATATAAAAAATACTGTGTAATTTGCTGTTTAATTTTGAGAGAAAATATTCAAAGTATTAAAAAGTGCTCAGTCTTGTACTTTTTGTTCTTTTGTACTTTATTAAAATTGTATACTTTTGTAAAACCTTTTACTCAAAAAAGACAATTTTGTGCACTTAAGAGGCATGATTTGAGAATTTCCACAAGCATGGGATCCTTATATGCTTGATATGAATGTTTTGAGTCCTGTTATTTACTAATGCTACTCTTTGGAATAGATAAAAATCGGGCCCTGCAGGCAGCAGAGCGCTTGCAAGCCAAGCTACGAGAACGTGGGGATGTAGCAAATGAAGACAAACTCAGCCTTCTAAAGTCAGTCCTGCAGAGCCCACTCTTCAGTCAGATTCTGAACCTTCAGACTTCTGTACAGCAGCTGAGAGACCAGGTAGGATATCATTGGGGTGTTCACAGCATGGCATAGATCTTGTGAAAGGATTGTTTTTTTCTGAAGGCTGATTTTCGAATGTGTTAATGAATAGTTAATGAAGTCATTTAAACCTCCAAACAAGACATTCAAATTCACCATGGCTTTTTCTTCCTAGTTATTTTTACAGTGGTTGTTGCCGTATACTGTAGATGATATGACATTGTGTTGAAAGCTGTGTGGATGCTGAAGAATGAGTTTCTACAGGAAAAGGGGATGATAAAAGTATGTTTGGGGTAGATGGTTGTAGACTTGGTTTCCATCATCACTAAGGCTCATTGTTCATGTGATCTTACTCATTCAGATTCGGATTTGAGTAAGCTTGTAAGATTTCAGATAAGCCTAGATTTGCATGTGTAATCATGTGTGTAAGGAAGGGAAATCACCTCTATTTTGACAGTAAAAGGAATAATTACATTGTCATCAGTTAGAGGAATTGCAGTTCTCACTTCTTAAAAGAGTGTAAGTAGCAATTGCTTCTATGACAGCATCAGATGGTAGAACTTCTAAATGTAACACTGTGTTTCTCCTGTAAAAATTATGAGCATTAAAAGTTGGAGCATTTATACTAAAATTGAAACGTATCATAGTGACAGAGTGAAAACTAAAGTCAGATGTTCTCTGAACTTACTTAATTTAATCACTATTTCTCAGGTTTTTAAAAAAAATATTTTTAAAACAGTTCATATCCTCATAAGGTTTGAAGTTAATTATGCCTTCAAGTTCTCATTCTCATGTTTTTAGAATTAATTTAATGGTTATGGATGACTTGCTAGCAAATATTCTGCCTTAAAAGATTAAAAAAGAATCTTGAAAACTAGTTTCATAATACAGTGAAAGAATAGCTCCAATAAAAAATTCCCAAATAGTGCTGGAGGTGTAACTCAGTGGTAGGACTGTGGGTTCAATTCCCAGTACGATAAAAATATCAGAAGACAAAAAACAACACTCAAAAGTGTGCTAAATGCAAAAGGTAAAACAGTAGTAATAGAAAAGGAATTTGTTTAATGTCGTGTTAACTTCTTAATCTACATTTGTATATTTGTAGCCCCTCTAAAATAAATCAAGAATAATCTTCAGACATATGTCATAATTTCTATGTAATGATTTTAAAAGTCATGATCATGAATTTTAAAAGGTGTTTTTGTTATTTGTAGTGTGTTTATCCCCTTTGTAAGTTATGGAGATACTAATTTTCAATACTAACTTTCAGAACAAATTGGTAAACTTATGGAGAAACCACCCTCTTGAATGTAAATGTAATTATGATGGGAATAATCATCTGGTTTTTCAGAGTATAGAGAGGTTGAACAGATATCTTCTATTTATTGTATTGTATGGAAATGTGATTAAAATGGGAAGGAAGTTAAAATAAATAGAGTATCAACAAGTACACCACTAGTCTAGTGAGATAAATCATTATTTTCCTGCTAACCAGCCTTACGAATGGCAAAGAATCTTTTTCCCTCCTGTGTCTGATGAAAGAAAGGGACAAATGGACCTACTTGCTAAGCTTGATTTAATATTTTCAAATGAAAATAGGATATGGGCTCTATTACTATTTGAGTCCTACATGGTTCACATGAAAACTACTTGGAAATCTATTGAGCATAATAATAGAGGCTCAAGTTCTGTGACTAATATATGCTATGATTTTGCTATTTTATTAATAATGTATTTAAGACTAAATTGTGAATTCTGAAGGCATGTCTTACATGTCTGTGGATTTTGTGTCCTTAGTCACTCTTTATGTAGAAGAGAAAGCTAACAATAAATGGGACCATGGAAAGTATCTAGCTTGGAGAGGTTAAGTGATTTGTTTTTAAGGGTAAAGCCAGAACTAGAATTCAGTTTTCTTGGCTCCCTGGGCTTCTTTCCCCCTTTTAGGCTTCGAAGACTATCTTATATCTTCTTTTCAATGATAGGAATTTGATCCCTAAATGTCAAGAGTTTCATTTTCACAATTCCTCAATTTTTGTGACTTTTCACTTTAATCTCCATTTTTTTTTTTTACTAATTCAATTCTGTTTACTTATCAGTATTTTATATATGATTAAAATAAAAATTTAAAACTATGTAATTTTTGTATATTAAAATAAAAATATAAATATTCTAATTTCATCAGATTTACCAATCACTAATTTATTAATATTTATAATTTAATAACTAAATATATCTAAGGAATAAAATTTGTTTCATGCATTTCAATCAGTGGCTACCCAAATCTGACCATTGCCTAGCTTTTACTTATTACCTTATATGTAAATTATATTTTCATATGTATAATTTTTATATGCACAACAGGTGCAAGAAGTTTCAATTCTTTTTTTTTACCATCACTGGAAAATTTGATCTGTTCAGTTCTTCCCCTCTGTCATCCATTCTCCTGTCTTTTAGAGAAGCAAAGGGAGTTAAACAATTGAAAAACCTGAGGTATATGCAGCATATTGGAGAACGTGATCATATTGTTGCATTAATGACAGATGCTGATATGCCACGTTGAATTAAGCCTACAATTTTTTCCCTCAGATCCTTCTCATTACTTCTATTCAATAATGTTTAATTTTTCCAATTTGCTGCTTCAGTATTAAGACCACCCTTAGAAATCAAACTATTTCCCTTTGGCAAATTAAACACTTGACAGGTGTGTAACTGAGAGGGCAAAAAAGCCATGCCCTGAAGGGATGTGCTATTTAAATATTGTCAAAAATATTAACAGGTCTGAGAATATAATTGATGCCTCTGTTTAACTCTGCCACATTGTGTATTGTTCTATCCGCCAGCTAAAAGATGTGTGCTATTAAACCTGAATAATCTCTAATAGCTCCAGTTCATTTCCTGCTGCACGATTTCTGTTTAAATGAAGAGAAAAAAGAGAACTGTGACTGTGTGTCAATGATCTGTCAAATGCAAATTCTCAAGTAGTGTCCTCACTGTCACCTAGTCATCACAGCTAATAACTATGGGGCTTAATGCGTATTCATGACAAAAATCCATCTATTGTGGGGGAAATAAACACGTTAGCAGTTTAATAATAGAAATGTGTCAGCCTTGAGGATATTGGATTTGCATATTTATTCTATGAAGTTTCTGCAGTCCAGTATAGGTGATGCTGCTTTCCTGATTAGTTAATTTCCTTGTCTTATAAATTGATCATAGGCGCTAAAATAATCTTCTTACTTTAAGTAATTTTTCAGAAAACTGTGAATTAAAATTATTATTTTCAGTAGAAATTTAGGATCAATACCTAGAAATCAACATTACCAAGATTATTTTTAAAAAGATGGCAGTGGAGACCAGTTCTAAGACAGGAGAAAAGATATGGATATCTCAGGTTGCAAAAGTTGCTTATATGAGAAATAAGCCTTAGGGCACAGAATATTCAAGATATCTCTCCTTGTTTCTGATCTCTAGACTTTTTGGCCTATGACATTTGATTGTTTTGTTGTTATTTAATAATTAAAGGATTCTAGCTCATTTGCTGTCCTTCCATACAGTGCTGGCTTATATATTTTTCATCTAGACATATAATATATATACACGCAAATTAAGTCAGATTTTTTCTTTGGAAATTTATGACATCTCCTAAAATAACTTAAACACATGGTGATTTGTATACAATCAACTTTGGAATTACTGTTCAATGTTGATTAGTGAGATTTTTTTCTCATTTTTTATTCTTGAAATGTAGTCTTCGTGGTGTAACGTTTTCATTGTTTATTTCTGTATATTTCTTTTTTAAATTTTTCTTTATTTTTTATATTTATTTTTTAGTTATAGTTAGACACAATATCTTTATTTTATTTTTATGTGGTGCTGAGGATCAAACCCAGTGCCTCATGCGAGCGCTCTACCTTTGAGCCACAACCCCAACTCTATTTCTGTATATTTCTAAGTTTTACTTGTTCACATTCCAAAAAAAGAATATGAAACAAAGAAATGGATGATTCAAAGATAAACCTAAATAAACTAAATAATAATATCATAGAACTAGATATACCAAAGACCTAGGGTTGCTGAAACCAAGTAAATCATTTAATTTCAGTTTCCCAGAAGCAAAGACAAATAAAAAACAACTGAAGGATTATATGTTCATTGTGAGACTTTGTTGAGTGAACCTAATCTTCTCCTGACAATAGGAGGGAGGGTTATCACATGGACACTTTGTTGAACACTTAAAATCAATGAAACCTTAATGAATAATAAGATGGAGGTTCTCACTATCTAGAGGGGAAAACAGAACATAGAAAAAGGAACAGGTGAGTGATGGAAGGAGAAGGAACTTTGACTTAAGATAGATTTTGCAAAAGGAGTAGGAATTTTCGGCAGATGTAGGGAAATTATTTCAGGTAGAGGGCGAAGTGTTTATAAGAGTATGCAGCAGTTGTTTTCAATGAGTGTGATTTTTATATTTTCCTTCACCAAGAAGTATTTGGCAATGTCGGGAGTCAGTGGGATTATGTGGATTATTATAATGGGTAGAGGTTAGTGATGCTGCTAAACATCCTTCAGTGAGCAGCACAGCCTCCCACTGCAAGGAATTATGGGTTTATAAAGTGTTCATTGAGAAATCCTGGTATAGAACTATGTACAGACATATATTATCAAAGCAGTTAGATTATATGTGGAATATTGGCAGGAATGGAAACTATAGAGCCAGATTGTGAAGGACCTATTGAGGTAAGTGTTTTTTGGGGGGTGGTGGTCAGTATTTCCTTGATGGTACCCTAGGATTAAGTCCAGGGCCTTGCATTCAAGTACTCTACCACAGAACTACATTCCTAGGCATTATTTTCATTCTTTTATACCCAACTTTCTGGAAAATTATCACATTTATCTTTTACTCCTTCTATTAAGTATAATATTTTAGCAATCATTTTATGTTTTATTTGCCTACATCTTATCACTATGGTAATAAGCCTAACAAAATTATGTTAAGAATTCTAACATTTTGATAAGTA